ATAATATGAGATCAGTTATACAAATTTCTTTTATCTAGTTGTAAGATATGACACAGTTGCTTTAGTAGGCTAGAAATGCTTTACCTACTTACCAATTAGATGTTAAACCATCATTCTTGCATGAACACTTGAAGGAGTAGGTCTTTATTGAACAACCACTAGGTTATGTCAAGGTTAAAAGTATGCATAAAGAGTATAAATCAAATAAAGTTTTTTATGGATTGAAATAAGACTCACTAGCATGGTATAATCGCATCGAAGTTTATTTTCTCAAAGTTGGATTCATAAAATGTCCCTTTGAGCACATATTTTTCACTAAAATTAAAGATAAAGATAAATTACTTATGATTTGTTTATATTTTGATGATCTTATTTTTACCGAAAATTGCAATTTTATGTTTGAGAACTTTAAGAAATCTATGATGTTAGGCATAAAAGTAATTCAATCAGTTGGTGGAACTTTTATTTATCAAAACAAACATGTGAGAGATGTTTTGAATAGGTTTCAAATGAAAGATTATAATCCAATAAAAACTTCATTAGAGCATGACCTAACTATTCATAAGGATCTTGAAGGAAAGAAGGATGACAATCCACTTTCTAAGAAAATTGTTGACAATTTAATGTATTTAACCATTATAGACTAAATATAATATTTTCTATAAGTGTGAAAAATAGATATGTGAAAAACCCTTTGTTATTTGCAACAAACTCAATATTTTGGGTTGTTTTATAAAAGGAGTGAAAAATCCAATTTATTAGGATTTACAAATAGTAATTATACGGTTGATAATAATGAAAGAAGCACCTTAATTATTCTCTCAAGCAATGAAGCTCAATTTATCATTGCTACAACATGTGCATGCAAAGTCATTTGTCTGAAGGGATTTCTTGGATAAATGAATTTAAAATAATTAGGTGCAACCACAATAATAGATCAACTATTAAATTATTCAAGAATCCAATGTCGCATGAAGAAGCAAACATATATATGTGATATATATGTTATTTCTTAAGGAAACATAACAATGAGAAATAATTTATCTACAACTTTATAGAAGTGAAGAACATATCATTGATCCATTTACAAAGTTTTTCACAATTTATTCTTTCTGTAATTTAAGAAACTTGATAGGGTTTGTACTATGAACTAAATTAAAATAATGTAAATTTTCAATTTAAGAGAATGATTGTTTTTTTTTACTAAGTATTATGGGGAATATTTCTCCATCTAAATTGTTTTCCATTTTTCTTAATTATTAATAGATTTTTCAATGTTCAAATTATGTAGAGTGAACGCTATGTAGCTTATTTATTTGTCATGTTATAATTCTTTTTTTGGTATTATATGATAGCCTATTTATTAGACTCATCATTATTCTTTTTGAATAAGAGAAATGCATTTTTCATATATCTTATTTTCTATCAACTAAGACCTATTGGTTGAACCAAACTTATTAAGAAAGGTATGACCTTAAATCTCAGTTTATCGATAAAACCAATCCAGTAAGTAGGGATGTCAAAATTAGGGGTGTTAAAATAGGCTTATTCTAATGGATTGACCTAAAAAGTATGAGAAATAAGTCAAATCAGGCAAAAAAATTTATAACTTAAATTAAACCAACCTATTTTGGTCTGACATATTTAGATCATGACCTACATGGACGTAGGCTAGACTAGCCCATATACTTTTAGGTCGGTGTGTAAACTTTGAACTGACATGTTTTATAAAATAATAAATTATTTTTAAAATAAAAACAAAAGTTAAAAAATATATATGTATTATAAATTGATTTGATAGGGGATTTACTTATAAATATCATAATAAGTCCAAATAATCATTTATTTTATGATTTAATGATTAAAATTAATTATTATTTTATATCAATAAAGAGTAAGTTTTTTATTTTTATTTTATAATTTAATGGATTCATTCTTTTATAATTTATATTTTAAATCACTATATCTTAAATAAAAACTATTTTTATTAATATAATTTAATTTTTAAAAATATATTTTTTATTTTTATTTTTTAACATAATTATTTTGATATAAACACATTAATATTTTTTTCTTCTAATTTCCAATCAGGTCAAAATTGACTCATTAGCATGTTGGTCTAACATATGGTTAAATTAGACTATAAATTATGGTCTATTTTAAAATATAAGTCATACTAGGTTATCATTTTTTTTACTTAATCTGTAGGATCAAGTTAAACCGGGTGGTTTTGACAATTTGGCTTAAAATAGGCTTACCTTTATGAGTTGTTCGAAAGACTTAAAAAACAAGTTAGATTAGACAAAAAACTTATTAATTTATATTGAATCTTATTAATTTTGGGTGAATCCATTTAGGTCGTTACCTAATTAGGCTTAAGTTAATTTGACCCGTAAACTTAAAGGTCTACTATTTTATTTTAAAACTTCAAAAACAAATAATTATATTTTAAAATTAATATATACATTAAATTTTAATAAATTAAAATAAAAACATAATAAAAATGTGGACACATAGGCACATCTACCATTGTGTTTCCATTAGTTATAAATTAATTTGAAAAATTATCTACTTATTTTAAGAGTTAGTATAAAAATAAGTTTCTAATAATAATAATAATATCTAATAATTAAAATAAATTATTAAATAATGATAAGATTGAAGAGTAAGCATGTAACTTTTATTTTGGAAGTGAATGAATATAATCTTTTGTATTTTATATATTAAATTATTATTATTGAACTAAAAAATAATTTTATTAATATATAACTTAAATTTTAAAAATATTTTTTTTATTTTTTGAATAAATTATTTTTATATAGACATTTTTTTCAATTAAAATAAATTTGAGTCAAGTTATAAAAAAAATTATGAAGAATTTAAAATATAAGTCATATTGAGTTATAAATTTTTTTTGTTTATTTAGATTGTTAGTCAGCTAAACTCTTTAGACCACCTATTTTTGATAACCTTAATTATAAAATTCTTAAACTAGGAATAAAAAAAAACTCTTACAACAAGAAAATACCCAATTTAATTAATATTTAAATTATACTTTGAAATTTGTAAGATAGTGCTGTTTATAGTTAAAGTTAGACAACGTAGAAGACCATAAACATAAATTTTTGGTAACTCTAGTAAGCATTTGCTTCCCATTAATTAAATCCCATTAGTCATTATAATGACTTAGAAAGATTAAATGTATAAAGTTTGACTTAAGAAATATGAAAATATATCTAAATTTATTTTCTTAAAATTAAAAATTAAAATTATATTAAAATTTTGAAATGAGTTTACTAATTAAACTTAAGCCTATAATATTTTTGTCTTTTGTTTTGACTTTTATTTTAATTACTTGAACATGTACGAGAGACGATAAATTAAAGGTGAAATAGAAGGAAAAAAAAAAAAAACACCTTCCAAGCAATCAATATGAAACTGATATTGATGTGGGCAAAGTCTCATTTTGAACTACTTCAAGATAATTCACATTAGTTTCGTAAAAGGGGAATTTATGAGTTCAGGAAAAAAATAAAATAAAAATAATACGGGTAATGTATTTCTAATTTACGAACATCGTTTCTTTTATGATGAGAATTCTTTTATCTTATTAATAAACAAATTCAGTAAGATCATATATTTTTTTTATTATAATAAATTTGAGAATTTGATATACAAAACTTGAATAATTTATCATATTCTGTTTAGTAATGAAAATTTGTCATTTTTAATTTGTAGCTATTTAAGATTAATTCTTATATTGTCTATTTTAAAACATTTTTTTATTATAATTTTGTTTTTATAAGATATTTTAATAGGTTAAAAAAATATAACATATTTAAATTATTTTTAATCTCAATTTTAAAGTGATATAAGACTTAACGTATTAGATTCTCAATCAAACGATAATTATAATAACATCTTTAAGGTGAATTTTCTTATTCAAAATATTATTTATTTTATAATTTTCATTCATCACCCTTTTATTCTTAAAATACGTGTCACATTACCTTAAAAATATCAAATAAAAATTATATTATTTTCGAATGGTATTTTAAGAATCTCCATATTCTACGTGATTCAATAAAGCCAAGTTTCTAATTTTACTTTCAACTTGCAGTCCAACCACTCCTCGAAGGTTTTAATTTAGCTTGAGAAAAGAAAGTCTAAATGTTAAATTCTAAACTTACTCCCGATTAGTCATAGATGGGATAGTAATAATAGATTTCTCAAAATACATATTATATATATATATATAAATAAATAAAAATATTGTTTGATAATTTAACAATAAAATGACAACTAAAACGGATAACATTCTCCCCTTCCCAATAGGCACAACGCAAAGTACGTGAATAAGTGTGATAAACGTGAGTATAATATCAACCTACACCACCATGCACCAGATTACCAACTTCATTCTATCATCATTCCATTGCCATATAACAATTAATAAATAAATATCTTCTGTCCATTCCCGATGATTGCTAGCGACTATTTTGGTCAATAAGCAAAATCATTTATTTTCACTTTCAAATTCATACGTCAGTTTCGGGTTCAGCCACTGGTACCATCTTCAATAAATAAGAGTTGTTGATCAAAATAGAAAAATTAAAATATTAATTATTATAAGTAACTTTTTTATATAATATAATCAGTTATTTAATTTTTATTTTAAAAAATAAAAAATAAAATTTTTTAATAAATTTTGTAATGAAAAGATAAATTATTTAAAAATAATGTGATATTATAAAACTATATTTTATAATTTCTTTTAATGATAATGAATATCATGTTAAGTGACGTGGTTGATATGTTCACGGTTTAAATGCTGAGTTTGGGTCCTGCGCGAAGAGGCGAGATTTTTGTTTTGTTTTGTTTTGTTTTATTTATTTACTTATTTTCTGTATCTTAAGAAAATCCTGTTTTAGGTCTCAGCTGGGTAAACGCACGCAACAGCGATAGAATCACAGATACGTAGTGTTAGCATCTGAACGGCAATGGCGAAGCAACCGAGCCACGACGTCGTTTCCGATCTGGTCGACTTTCTCAACGCTTCTCCCACGGCTTTCCACGCCGTCGGTAAAACCAATACCAACTCTGTTCTTTCCTTCTATGCTCCCCGATTCGCAAATCCTCATTCACCCTTTCTTCGTTCCTTTCAGATGAGGCCAAGAGGCGTTTGCAGAGCGCCGGGTTCCACCAACTTTCCGAGAGGGAACTGTGGGAACTGCAACCTGGCAACAAGTACTTCTTCACCAGAAACCACTCCACCATTGTCGCATTCGCCATCGGCAAAAAGTTCGCTCCTTTCGTTTCCCCTCTCTTTTCAACCAAACACGGAACAACGATAATAGTAATAATGATGCTTAATGCTTCCTTTTTCGACTTCTGCTCAGGTACGTTGCTGGAAATGGGTTCTACATAATTGGGGCTCACACGGATAGTCCCTGTCTCAAACTCAAGCCTGTCTCCAAGGTAACAAACTTCCGTTTTAGTTCCTCGAGTACTGGGTCTGTCGTAGTAGTCTTTGGGATTAGAAAAATGTCAACTGGATCTCTGTGATTGGTTTAATCTAAGTTTCTGAGTTTAAACATTTATTGTCATTTTGGTTGCTTAAGGGCTGTTGTCGGAGACAAAACAACCACTTTAGTAGGTCTAGTTATATTAGTCCGTTAAGAAAATGTTAAATAAGTTCCTCAATTTAACTACTTACTATCACTTTAGTCACACATTTCTTGGGACTGTGGACTAATGTGACTGTCGATTTATGTAAGGACATTGCGAAGGTTTGGCTTGAACAAGCAACTGAGTTCTGCTGATGTGGCAGTTAGTTAGGATTACGATGGTTATAGAGAGAGGGGAATGCATGTAATTCATTCTGTAACTTTTCTGTTAAAAAGCTTATGGGTTCGGGGGAGAGAGTATTATCTGTTCTAGAAGGAGCTTTGCTCTGGGATTTCTAGAGTATACTATTTCTTACTTTTTTCCTAACAATAGCACACTTTTGATATCTCTTGAACCTGGATTCTATTAATTTACACTTTCATAATTTTCTTTTAATTTCCTTCAAATTAGGAACTAATGTGACAACTTTCTGCAAATTCAAAGTTAGGGACCAAAATGATCATTTACTTTATGTTAATATTATCATTTAAGTTACCCGTGCTGGACTAATGTTAGACTTAACGTTAAGAAACAAGAAAATATAGTTTGAAGGGCTTAATCACCCCTCTTAATCATCTTCTATTTATATTGGAAAGTCTAATACAAGAGAGCATAGAAGATCTAAGGTTGCACTAAACACCTAGGTACAAAACTAGGTACAACAGTAGGACAACTGGTAGATGTTTCTAACACATTATCCCCTACTCAGATTTAATGATTACACATAAATTTAATAATTATTCTAACACTCTCCCTCAAGCTGGAGCATACAAATTGTATGTACCAAGCTGGGAATAAATAAACTCAATCTGAGGTCCTCTTAAGGACTTGGTCAACATATCTGCAAGTTGGTCATTTGATCCAACAAACTCAATACAAATTTCTTTGGATAATAATTTTTCGCGAACAAAATGACAGTCAATTTTTATGTGTTTGGTCCTTTCATGAAATACAGGATTTGACGTGATGTGGAGAGCAGTTTGGTTATCCCAATATATTTTCATAGTCTGGACTTCACAAAATCTAAGCGCTCGAAGGAATTGTTTTACCCATATAAGTTCACAAGTAAAAGACGTCATTGCCTTGTATTCAGCTTCAGCAGTTAATCTTCTAGTTTGGTTTGTAAGTTACATCGTTCTCTCTATGGTCTCAAACAATCTCCACGTGCTTGGTTTGGAAAGTTTAGTCACTTTGTTCAAAGTTTTGGATTAAAACGAAGTGAAGTAGATCATTATGTTTTTTTATTATATTGCTTCAGGAAAATGTGTTTATTTAATTGTATATGTAGATGATATAGTCATTACAGGGGATGATGTTGATAAAATTTCTTTGCTAAAGAAACATTTATGCAATCACTTCCAAACTAAGGATCTTGGTTGTCTCAAATACTTTCTAAGGATTGAAGTGACTCAATCAAAAGAAGGCATCGTAGTCTCCCAAAGAAAATATGCTTTAGATATCCTGAAAGAAACAAACATGATTGATTGTAGACCAAGAAATGACTCTATGGATCCAAATCAGAAATTAATGGCGGATCAAGGTGAACCGCTCTCGATCCTGAGAGATATAGAAGATTTGTTGGGAAACTCATTTATCTCACCATTACCAGACCTGACCTATCTTTTGCTGTTGGAGTTGTGAGTCAATTTATGCAAAATCCGCGTACTGATCATTGGAATGCTGTCGTTCACATCCTAAAATATCTCAAAAAAGCTCCAGGACAAGGTTTGTTGTATGAAGATAAAGGGGGTACCCAAATATCTAGGTATTGTGATGCTGATTGGGCTGGATCTCCTATGGACAGACGCTCCACTACAGGATATTGTGTTCTCATTGGAGGCAATATTATTTCTTGGAAAAGTAAAACAAAATGTAGTGGCCCGGTCTAGTGTTGAAGCAGAATATAGAGCAATGACATCTCTCACTTGTGAACTAGTGTAGGTGAAACAATTCCTTCAAGAACTGAAATTTTGTGAGATCCAACAGATGAAGATGTATTGGGACAATCAAGCAGCTCTCCACATTGCCTCTAATCCGGTGTTCCATGAAAGGACCAAACATATAGAACTTGATTGTCATTTTATTCGTGAAAAAATGTTGTCTAAAGAAATTTACACTGAATTTGTCGGGTCCAATGATCAACTTGCAGATGTGTTGACAAAGTCTTTAAGAGGACCTCAAATTGAATTTATTTGTTCCAAGCTTGGCACATACAATTTGTATGCTCCAGCTTGAGGGGGAGTGCTAGAATTATTATTAGTTAGTGGTTAGTAATTGGTGGTTGATGGTTGTTAGTAGTTGGTGGTTGTTGTTTTAAATGTTGTAATCCTATATATATATATATATATATATATATATATGAGATCATAGAGTGGAGTAATGCATTCTACTAAATTAGAAATCTTTTTTTCACTCTCTTAGCTAGAGAACGATGTAACTTACAAACCAAACTAGACTCCCCCTGAGCAACAAAACCAGGAGGTTGCTCCATATAAATTTCCTCCTTAAGATTACCATGCAAGAACGCATTCTTGATATCTAACTGATGAAGAGGCCAATGACGGATAACTGCCATAGCAAAGAAAAGTCAAACAGTAGTCGTTTTAGCCACAGGAGAAAAAGTATCACTGTAGTCAAGACCATAGATCTGAGTATAGCCTTATGCTACTAATCTAGCTTTGAGTCGATCAACTTCACCTATTGGTCCAACTTTAATGACATAGACCCAACGACAACCAACAGTCTTCTTCTCATGTGGAAGAGGAATTAAGTTCCATGTACCATTGTGCTCAAGAGCCTGCATTTCATCAATCATGGCTTGTCGTCATCCAGGATGATCAAGTGTCTCTTTCACATTTTTTGGAATAGTAATAGTGGATACAGAATAAACAAAAGAAAAATAGGAAGGAGACAATCTATGGTAGTTAAGAAAATTGTAAATGGGATGTGGATTACGAGTAGAGCGAGTACCTTTGTGAATGGCAATGGGCCAACTTGAGTAATCATTATCAGGAATCGTGGTATCAGGGGATGATTGAGAAGGATCTGCTGAGGAAGACTCATCTTGGGATATGGGACTGATCATTTGGCTCCTGTGTTGATAGGTAATAAGAGGCAGTGATGAGGATTCCGGTGTATTTTGTGTGGAATTTTGGGTGTCAGGAGGAGGAGGTACAAATGGCTCCACTAAGGGTATAAGTAGGACATTTTGAACCGAACTAATATCCTGCATAGAAGAAGGGAAGAAGGGAGTTGACTAAAAAAAAGTGACATTAGCAGACATGTAGTACCTCTTGGTTTCAGGAGAATAACATCGATATCCTTTTTGAAGACGAGAATATCCTAAGAAGACACATTTGATGGCTCTAGCTGATAGTTTATCTAAACCTGGAGACATATCATGAACAATCATACGCAACCAAATACACGAGGAGAAACATGAAAGAGTGGGTCCTTTGGCAATAGAATAGAGTGTGGAACTTTATTGTTAAGAGAAGAAGATGACATTCTGTTAATGAGAAAATATGCAGTAAGAATAGCATCTCCCCAATGATGAACTAGCATATTTCCACCAAGTAATAAGGTACGAGCAGTTTCAACCAAATGTCTATTTTTTCGTTCTGCTATACCATTTTGTTGTGGTGTGTGAGGACAAGTAGACTGGTATAAAATGCCTTGGGAGCTTAAGAGAGTGGAGAAATAAGTAGAAAAGTATTCTTTGGCATTATCACTTCGTAAAACTTTGATTACTTTTTCAAATTGATTTTTGATTTCGTTAAGGAAAGACTTGAAGATAGGTAATAATTCAGAACGGTCTTTCATTAGATAAATCCAAGTACACTTAGAAAACTCACCAATGAAGGTAACAAAATATCTATAGCCAAAGGATGAGACACGACTAGGACCCCAAGTATCAGAATGAACAAGAGAAAAGACAGAGTCACATCTAGATTCAGAACGTTTAGGAAAAGAGGACCTAGTATGTTTCCCTAGTTGACATGATTCACATTCAAAATTTTGAAGAGTCTGAAGTTCAAGAACCATTTTTTTTAATCTTGATAAGTGAGGGTGCCCTAAACGTTCGTGTAATAGTTTTGGAGACAAGGATGCAACACAAGATACAGATGATTTAGTCCCAAGGTAGTATAAGCCTCCAGATTCATGTCCTTCTCCAATTTGTCGACCCGTACCATGCTCCTGTATAACAAAAGAGTTGGCATTAAAGGTTATTGAACAATTCAATAATTTGGTTAATTGACTTAGGGAAATGAGACTGAAGGGACATGAAGGAACAAAAAGAACAGATTTTAAGTTTAAAGATGGAGAAATGGAGACTTGACCCGTTCCTTTAGAGGCTACTTTAGATCCGTTAGCTAAGGTTATGAGATGAGGAGTTTTAGGAAATGAGAGAGAAGAGAACAAAGAGGCATTACCAGACATGTGATCAGAAGCACCTGAGTCAATAATCCATGGATTTTGACTTTCCACAGATTGTGAAATGCAAGTTGTTGATGAATTTGGGGTTGTTGATGACTGGGCTAGATTACTGGATTTCAACCTCAAATATTCCTGATATTCTTCGTGAGAGAACTTGGGTTCAACCATTTCAGATTTGGAAAAATTGATAGTTTTGTCAGGAAAACCGTGCAAAGAGTAGCAATTTTCCACTGTATGACCCATTCTCTTGCAATGAGTGCACTGAGGACGTCCTCTACCTCCACGTCCTCCTCTAGTGCCGCGACTTCCTCTTCCACGGGTAGAAATTATAGTAGAAGATTCAACAAGTTCTTGATTATTTTTTCCTTTGAGAGTTGGAACACGAAGCAGTCTTGTAGTCAAACTTTCCATAGAAGGAACTTCTTGTCCAGTTAAAATTTGATCTCTAACATGATCAAATTCTGAATTCATAGCCCGGAGAGTCATAACCATATAGAATTTATCCAACTTTTGCTTTATCTCCTTTAACGAATCCATCTCTAAGAACATCTTTAATTCTTCAACTGTTGATTGAGCTTCAGTAATAAAGGTCATCATATCTTTATCCAATTGCTTGAGAGAGGCTAATCGATTAGCGGAATCATAGAGGCGTTGGATATCATTTGCGAATATATTCTGAGTTTTTTTTCCAGAAAGAGTTACATGTTTTGAAGGATATGAGAGTGTTCAAAATATTTGGTTCTACTGATTGCCACAGTAGAGCACATAGTTGATAATCAAACTTTTTCCATTGTTGAGCCTGATCTTCTGGTATCTTACTTCCGTCTTCTTCTAGATGATCTTGAAACTCTTATCCAAGGAACCAAAGTTCCACTAAAGAGGACCAAGACATAATTTTTTCCATTTAATTTCTCAGCCGTTATCGTGAGAGTTCCGGAAAAGGAGGTTATGGGCCCTGACGACATGTTTTAAATAATGTAGATGTAAGATGGAGACAATGGAACCTGTAAGAAAGAGAACACCCAAGATAGCCGGAAGGTTACTGGAAAGTGGTCGGAAAGTCGTCGGACGGCAGCAAAAAAAAGGTGACTGGACGGGGGACTGACGGTTGCCGAAAAGTGATCGGAAAGTGGTCGGACGGTGGCCGGAAAATGGTCGGACGGTGACTGGAAATGGCCGGACGGTGACCGGAAATGGCCGGACGGTGGCTGGATGGTGGCCGGACGGTGGCCGAACAGGCAGAGCAGGACCAACCTGCTCTGATACCAAGTTAAGAAAGCAAAGAGAGTGAAAAGAAGATTTCTAATTTAGTGGGATGCATTACTCCACTCTATGATCTCATATATATATATATAGGATTACAACATTTAAAACAACAACCACCAACTATTAACAACCACCAACCACCAACTACTAACCACTAACCAATAACCACTAACTAATAATAATTCTAACAAATCTGACCACTACATTTTGCTTCTTACTTTTCCATGAGATAATATTTCCTCCAAAGAAAACACAATATCCCGTAGTAGAGCGTTTATTAGTTGGGGAGCCTACCCAATCAGCATCACAATATTTAGAGACATGGACATTTCCTTTATCTTCAAATAGCAAACCTTGTCCTGGAGTCTTTTTGAAGTACCTTAAAATACAAATGATGACATTCCAATGGACAATACATGGGGCCTGCATGAACTGACTAACCACTCCATCTGCAAAAGATAGATTAGGCCTCGTAATAGTAAGATAAATTATCTTTCCAACTAGCCACCTATATCTTTCTGGATCAGGGAATGATTCACCTTCTTCCATCATTAGTTTTTGATTTTGGTCCATAGGACTATCTACTGGCCTATAATCAAGCATACCTGTCTCTTGTAGGATGTCAAGAGCGTACTACTTCTAAGAGATAATAACCCCATCTTTTGACTGAGTTACTTTAATTCTCAAAAATATTTAAGACTCCCAAGATCTTTGGTTTGAAAATTTTTGCATAAGTACTCCTTCAATTGAGATATTTCGGCCACATCATTTTCTGTAATGACTATATCATCAACATAGACTATCAGGTAAATACATTTCTTAAGATGGTTGTTTTAATAAAAAACTGAATGATTTGCTTTACTGCGTTTTAGTCCAAATTTTTGAACAAAGTTGAATTTACCAAACCAAACACGTGGTGATTGTTTGTGGCCATAGAAAGAGCGGCACATCTTACAAACCTTACCAAACTCCCCCTGAGCAACGAACCCAAGAAGTTGCTCCATGTATAGTTCTTCTGCAAGGTTACCATGTAGAAAGATATTTTTGATATCTAATTGATGCAGTGGTCAATGACTAATTGCTGCCATGGCAAAACAGGCGGATAGTAGTCATTTTGGCCACTTGAGAGAAAGTATCACTATAATCGATGTCATAAATTTGAGTGTACTCTTTTGCAACTAATCGTGCCTTGAGACGATCGACTTCACCATTAGGACCAACTTTAATTGTATAAACCCATCAATACCCAATTGCCTTTTTTTCAAGTGGGAGGGAAACTAACTCCCAAGTATTACTTTGGTCAAGAGCCTGCATTTCTACAATCATGGCTTGTCGTCATCCAGGATGATCAAGTACATCCGTCACATTTTTGGGAATGGTAATAGAAGACACTGAGGATAGAAAAGAACAATTGGAGGGCGATAATCAATGATAACTAAGAAAATTATAAGTAGAATGTGGGTTTTGAGTGAAATGAGTACCTTTTCTAGGAGTAATGGGCCAGATTGAATCTTCTTCATCAAGAGTCGTGGTATTGGGTGACGATTGAGAAGAATTCGAAGTAGAGGATTCACCTCGTTCTTAGATAACTGGACTAGTTATTTGGGTCCCATGGATATCAATAGGAGGACTTTGACCAAGACTAGGATTAGCGGAGATACTGGAATTAGTGTACTCGACTAATGGTATTGGGAGGACCTGCTGAATGACATGCACATCTTGAACGGATGAAGAAAAAATAAGGAGTCTTTTCAAAGAATGTAATATTAGTAGACATACAGTACTTCTTGGTTTCAGGAGAGTAACATTGGTACCCCTTTTGAAGTTGAGAATAGCCCAATAAGACACATTTGATCGCACGAATAGACAACTTGTCCAACCCTAGAGACATGTCATGAACAAAACATACACAACCAAACACATGGGGAGAATTGTGAAAGAGAGGATCATTTGAAAAAAAATGGAGGAAGGGACCTTATTATTGAGAGAGTATGACATCCTGTTAATAAGAAAACATGCAGTTAGGACGACATTCCCTAATGATGGACAGAAATATTTGCATCAAGGAATAGGGTATGAGAAATCTCAACTAAGTTTCTATTTTTCCTTTTTGTTATACCATTTTGTTGTGATGTGTGAGGACAAGTGGACTGATGTAATATACCATGCAAACTCAAGGCTGTAGAAAAATTGAATGAGAAGTACTCTTTGACATTATCATTTCTTAAAATTTTGATTACTTGACCGAATTGGTTCTTGATTTCGTTCAAAAAGGATGTGAAGATAGACAACAATTCAGTACGGTCTTTCATAAGATAAACCCAAGTACATCTCGAGTATTCATCAATGAATGTGAAAAAATATTTAAAACCAAAAGAAGAGACGCGACTAGGTCCCCAAATATCAGAGTGGATAATAGAGAAACTAGAATTACACATTGTTTTAGACCTTCTGAGAAAGATAGATTTAACATATTTTCCTAATTGACAGGACTCACATTCTAAGATCTGGAGACTACTAAGCTCGGTGACCACTTTTTTTAACTTTGACAAATGAGGATGACCTAACCGTTCATGTAACAATTTAGGACTTGGGGCTGCAACACAGGAAACATGTGGACTAGATCCAAAATGGTATAAACCTCGAGCTTCATATCTTTCTCCAATTCGTCTCCCCGAACCATGCTCCTATATAATAAAAGACTTGTTATCAAAGGTTATTGAACAATTTAACATTTTGGTTAACTGACTTAATGAAATTAAATTGAAGGGACAATTAGGGACAAAAAGAACAATTTTTAGATTTAGGGAAGGAGATAAGGAGACTTGACCGACTCCTTTTAAGGAAACTTTAGAACCATTTTCCAGGGTTATGAAATGATGTTTTTCTTGAAAAGAAAGGGATAAGAACAAAGACGTATTACCGAAGATGTGATCAGAAGCACCTGCGTCAATTATCCATGAATTTTGACCTTCCATAGATTAGGAAATACAGGCTGTTGATGTACTTAGAGTTTCAGATATTTGTGCCAAGTTGTTAGATTTTAACCTAACATACTCTTGATATTCATCTTCAATGAATCTAGAGCTGGCAGTTTCAGCCTTAAAGACATTGGCTGTCTTGGCAGGAAAACCATGCAAGGAGAAGCAGTTTTCTTGGGGTGTGACCCATCCTTTTATGGTAGGACGCCCTCGGCCACCACGGTTCATGAACTTCCTTGCTTTGAGGCATTGGGACTCGAAGGAGGCGTGTGGTCAAGCTATCCATGGAAGAGACCTCATGACTGGTAAGAAGTTGATCTCGAAGATGATCAAAGTCTGGGGGTAAAACACAAAGGATCATCACCATATAATATTTGTCAAGTTTCTTCTTGATTTCATCCAAAGATTCTACTTCCAAGAACATTTTTAGCTCTTTAACTGCATATTGTGCTTCGGTCATGAAGGATACCAAATCATGGTCAGTTTGTTTGAGAGATGCAAGTCTGTTGGCAGAATCATAAAGACGTTGAATATCATTTGCATAAATGTCTTGAGTTTTCTTCCAAAAAGGGTGGCAAGTTTTAAAGCCTCTAAGGGAAATCGAAAGCCTCGGTTCCACAATTTGCCATAGCAAAGCACACAGTTGGAAATCAACTTGCTTCCACTGATCAGCCTTTTTAGGAGGCACATGACTTCCATCTTTCTCAAGGTGGTCATGATGACTTTGACCAAGGAACCATATTTCGATAGATGCATCCCACGAAAGGTAATTTTTTCCATTTAGTTTCTCGGAAGTAATGGAAAGAGTTCCAGAGAATGAAACAACAACTCCACAGCTCCAGTAGCCATTTCTGTTGATAAAGAGCCAGAAAACAACTAGGGCAGAGAGACCCCTAAGGTGACTTTCGCTAGGAGGGTCAGAACAGGAAGGGAAGGATCTGGCGATACTCACAGAGGTGGCGTGACAATGTTCAAATGAGAAGAGGGCCGCGCATGGGTGACACGTGCCTGATTGCAGCCGATTTTGACTAGGCGCATGACGGTGCATGGGAGGGAACGGGCTTCCGAGATCAGCAGGGTTGGCCATCGTTCGGAGAGGCGATCCAGATCCGGTGGTCGCAGGAAGAAACTGTGGCAGCGGACGGCGGCTCTGGAGATGACTGAGATAGGCAGAGCGGGATCAACTCGCTCTAATACCAACATAATGTCAAGAAACAGAAAAATATAGTTTGGAGGGCTTAATCACCCCTCTTAATCATCTTCTATTTATATTGAAAAGTCTGATACAAAACTAGGTACAACAGTAGGACAACTGGTAGATGTTTCTAACACGTTACCATCTACTCAGACTTAATAATTACAGAGAGATTTAATAATTATTTTAGCAGTTATTGATGAACTATAGTTTTGAATTTTTCTTTAGATTTTTTTTTTATTCAGAGACTGATGTGATTACACCCATCAACTTCAAGGATGAAAGTTGCTGTTTTCTTCATTAAATTTGAATTCATGATTTGTTAATGGGATTTTGAGTTTGAACTGCTGTTATATGGATGCAACAGAAGAGATGTTTAATTAGTGAGGTTTATTGTGCAGGTGGTTAAGGGTGGGATTTTGGAGGTTGGTGTTCAAATATATGGAGGTGGGTTGTGGCACACATGGTTTGACCGAGACTTGACTGTGGCAGGGAGGGTCATTGTACGAGAAGCGAATGCGGATTCTGTTTTGTACTCACATCGCCTTGTTAGAATTGAGGAACCTATAATGCGGATACCAACTTTGGCAATTCACTTGGACAGGTTCTGTCACTGCTGTTAAGATGCATCGCCTGTTAGCTTGCTTATCATTGTTTTGGGTTTATCATTTTCCTTTGGTTCATTGTGTACAGGACTGTTTCTGATGGATTCAAATTTAACTACGAGACTCATCTGATTCCCATATTGGCAACATCACTGAAGGTAATCGTGCTGGTTTATGTGAGGCTACCTAAGTTATAATTTAAGTCATTGCACTTGTTAGAAGGCTCATTTATTTGTTATATATGTGTTTTAAGATTATAATAGCATGCAATGTTGGAAGTTAGTTAATATAGTGTTTGTGTTTTAGTTAAATCTTTGATGCAATCGATTTGGACTGGTAACATTTAGAATTGTGTTCAGTTAATTGAAAGAAACTAAAACCCCTACAAACAGTGCTTATTCTGATTCATAGTGTTCGTTTTTTAACTATTTAGATCTAGCTTTTACACATCCATTTTGCTTCGTTTCGCAGGGTGAGCTTAACAAATTGTCCTCTGAAAATGGTCCAGTCAAAACTGGAAATCAGATTGATGGAAAGAAAGCAAATGATAAAACAGGCACCACTAATACGAAGCACCACCTTCTTCTTCTGCAGGTTAACCGAAGACCTTGAATCTCAGAATGCATTCTCAATATTTATATTTCACCTGCCTTTCTTTTTCGGATGTGTGTATTAACACTACTCACATGTAGTTGTAACTTGTACACTTTCTTAATTTGGGTTTTGGGAAGTATATATGATGATTACGAGTCTAATTGTTGGTTGTTGTCTTCTTTCCCCTTTGCACCAGTTGCTTGCAAGTAAGCTTGGGTGCGAGCCAGATGACATTTATGATTTTGAATTGCAAGCTTGCGATACACAGCCAAGTACAGTTGGGGGGGCTGCAAAGGAATTCATTTTTTCTGGACGACTTGATAACCTCTGCATGACATTTTGCTCACTGAAGGTCTAACTTTTATATAGATTATTTTTTCAAGTCAAGTTTCAGATGCTTGAGTATAGTGTATAAATGAACTTCAAAATATATCCTGATTTTGGTGTTTACCACTCTAAATAATTGAGTCATTTTGGACAGTTATTATAAAGTGCAAGGAATAGAAAAGAATTTCTGAATATCATTACTATATATGTTTATATCATCATTTTATGTTATGCCCTAATGGAATGATTTCAGCCAATAATCTCTGGTTATAATTGCATCTTCTCCCATTCTATGAATCTTTGAAATGATAGTTCATTAATTCAAACCCAAGTGGTTTTTATAATACTGTGTTTGGGATTACGTTGGGACTGCTGGATGTGGATTGTCAACGGTACTAATAGTTGTTTTTGCATTAATAAGGTCATATGCCTTTGTTACAATATCTATTGATATGGTAGGGATGAAAGAGGGGATAATAAGGTGAAATCTTTTTGGATTCTTTTAATATTTCTGTGTAACAGTGCAAATTTGACTATGGAGAAAAGAAGTCTTTCTAATTATGTAATTTTGCTTTTTGATTATTACAATGAGAATTATCGGAATAAACAAACTAAAATTGTTATTGCAGTAGCTACGAAAATTTGAGAGATTTAACCAATCAAGTAGCGAGACGAGATCCATTCCTGAAATCGAAGAGGTTAGAATGAGAAACAGGTCCAGAGGAAAGGAAGAATTAAAATGTTAGAGAGAAGTATTCAGAGAGAAAATATTCCATACCATCCATATCCCATCATTGAATGATGTCACGCATAATAACGCTCTTCTTTCTCTCACGTTTTCCTCTGTGCACATCCATGCTCCTCTCCTTGCATGCCACGTGGCCACCTTGCACAACAGCCTTACCCGCCTTTTCTGAACTCTCATTCTCGATTGTTACATTACTCCCTTCTTTAAACACAACCTTGTCCTCAAGGTTGAATTCAGGATAGAACTTCTTCATTTCCTCAACATCTTCCCAAGAGTTGTCCCCTTGAACCAAGGAATCCCATTGAATCTGAACCTGAGATATATTCTTCCCATTGCGCTGTATTAACCTAGAAGTCAGGACCTTAACTAGTAGCATAATTGGACCAAACTCATTTGTCATGAGAGGTAAAGGAAAATATTGTTGCTTCTCTACCCCGTGAAATTTCTTGAGCAACGATATGTGAAATACTGGATGAATCTTGGCCGTGTCGGGTAAGGATAATCGATAAGCCACGGAGCCAATCTTTTGAAGGATCTTGAATGGGCTAAAATACCAGAGACTTAGCTTTTGATTCTTTCTTAAAACAACTGAATGTTGTCTATAGGGTTGTAACCGCCAAGTGGACCTCCCGATGCTTTTTGTCTGCTTGAACTTTCATATAATTTTGGGAATGATGCAAGGTACTTTTTAACTTAGTGATGACTGTATCACGCACAAGCAAGCTTTCTTACAACGACTGTGGATCATTTTCATTGAACTCATACCTGATGATAGTAGGAGGAGGTTTTTCGAAAACATCCTGATAAGGGGACATGCCTATGCTGTGATGGAAGGAAGAATTATACCAAAATTGTGTCCAAGGAATCAATGGCATCCAACCTTTTGGATGATAAAAAACGAAACAACGGAGATACATTTCTAGAGTTTTATTAAGATTCTCTGTTTGACCATCTGATTGCGGATGATAAGCCGAACTCATGGCTAAGTTAGTTCCTTGTGACTTGAACAAAAGCTTCCAAAAGGTGCTGATGAAAACTCTATCTCTATCAGAGACAATTGATTTTGGAAAACCATGCAACTTTACTATGTTTTGAATAAAAGCATCAGCTACAATCTGACTAGTAAATCCTTGTTTCAATGGAATGAAGTGGGCAAACTTTGATAGTCTATCCACCACTACCATAATATAAGAATACCCATGAGATGGTGGAAGATTGGTTATAAAATCCATTGCAATCTCCTCCCAAATGTGAGTCAGAATGGGTAGTGGTTGCAGTAGTCCCGTTGGTAGAGATTGGGAGACCTTAACTTGTTGACATATAACACACTCCTGAACATATTGTCATATATCTTCTCTTATTCCTGGGCAATAAAACTGCGCTGAAATTCTGGCAAGTGTTTTGGTTGTACCAAAATGACCTCTTACCTTAGAATCATGAAATTCTTGAATAATGTTTCGAATCAGCTCAATGTCTTTAGGAATGACAATTCTACCTTTCCAAGTGAGTACATTCCTATGTAATGCATATTCACCATGCTTGCCAACCTTTAAACAACCTACATAGATTGACTTCAAATTAGCATCCTTTTGTATGGCAGCTGCTACTGCTCACAGCCAATGATGTATAGGCTCAGACCAAGCCATTGCAAAACTCCTGGAAAGAGCATCAGTAGGAATGTTCTCCTTTACTGGGGTGTACTGAATGGTAAAATCGTACCCTAAGAATTTGGGCAGCCATTGTTGTTGCTCAGGTGTTTGAAGAGTTTGATCCAATAACTCCTTTAGACTTTTCTGATCTGTTTTTATGATGAACTTGTGGCCCAAGAGGTAATGTTGGAATTTGGCTAATGACTCAGTAATTGCATAGAATTCTCTGGTATATGTAGATTGTTTCTGCATCCTAGGTGATAATTTCTTAGAGAAATAAGCAATGGGATGATGCTTCTTTTGACTTAATACAACTCCTATTCCCGACCCAGATGCATCGGTCTCCAACATGAAAGGTTTAGCAAAATTAGGAATGGCCAAAACCGGAGCAGAGGTGAGAGCTCTCTTTAACGCATCAAATGCCTCATATGTTGTCGCACTCCATATAAAGGAATTCTTCTTCAATAAATCAGTTAATGGTGCAGCTATATGAGCATATCCCTTAACAAACCTTCGGTAATATCCAGTTAAACCTAAAAAACCTCTCAATTGTTTCAAATTCACCGGTTTAACCCAATTCTGCATAGCTTCTAATTTGTCTTTGTCCATAGCAACTCCAGCACCGGATAACGTGTGGCCTAAATATCCAATCTCCTGTACTCCAAATGAGCATTTGGAGAATTTAGCATAAAGTTGATTCTTTTTCAAGATGCTCATAACTACTTCCAAGTGAGTTAAATGGTTCTTCCAAGTGTTACTATACACAAGAATGTCATAAAAAAAAACTAGCACATATCTCCTTAACGGTCCGCTAAAAATCTGATTCATTAAACTTTAAAAAGTGGCCGGAGCATTGGATAAGCTAAATGGCATTACGAGCCATTCATACAGTCCTTGATGAGTTCTAAAGGCTGTCTTGTATCTATCTTCTGGATTAAGGAGAATCTGATGATAGTCAGACCTGAGATCCAGTTTAGAGAAATAACAAGCCCCATATAGTTCGTCAATGAGTTCATCAACAGTCGGAATAGGAAAATTATCATTGATGGTAATGGCATTTAAAGCTCTGTAATCATTACAAGCTCTCCAAGATCCATCCTTTTTCTTTACTAAAATGATTGGAGAAGAAAATGGACTGTGAGGGTACCTATAAGGCCTCACTTTGACTGGATTGGAACCATTTATCAAAGGGATTGAATGTACATGAGATCAAGGAGGAGGTAAGGCACTTGGGGTACTAAACACAATACTATAGATATGTAGCAACAGAACCAATTCTGGCTCCATGTCACCAGGAAATTCCAGCAGTGGAAAAGAATCAATTCCCTCATTGACCATTTGCATGTTATAAACTTCAGCTATTGCATCCGTATGGACCATCCTTCTAATGTGATGGAGTTGAGTTGTAACTGGTATAGTTTTTGTCTCTCCTTGTAGGGTGGCATACTTCCCTTCATGGAGAAATTTAATATTAAGGGCTGCATAATCAGCTAAGTGAGGTCTGATGGTTTTGAGCCAACTTGCTCCCAAAATCAAATCAGCACTAGAAATAGGCAGTTGAAACACAGGTAAAGTAAAGGCATTTCCCTGAGCTTGAAGAGGCAATTGATGAATTAAACCTACAGATTCCATGTAATTGCCGTTGCCCACCATCACTCTGAACATTGAAGCCTTTTCAATGGGAAGTTTAAGGAATTTAGCCACTCGCAGTTGGAGGAAATTGTCAGAGCTGCCCCCATCAATTAACACTTTCACTGGCATAGTTCCCACATAAGCTAAAATTCGGATAGTTCCAACACCGAGTCCCCCTTTCAAAGCATTCAAAGAGAGATGATGATCATCACTATCTGAAGTTTCATTATCAGTAATGTTCTCAGGTTCAGTTACAACTTGCTCTGTTTCCTCCTCTCCCAATTGCAACACAAAGACTGTCTATTGGGGCATTTATGGTTGAAAGAAAATTTCTCATCACAAAAATAGCATAGGCCTTTTTCTCTTCTGAACTGCATTTTCGCTGGGCTAATTCTTTTGATATTTGAATTTCTAATATGAGGCTGGTGGAGTGGGTAATAAAGGTGGAAGGGAGGATTTAGGTAGGTTTAAGGATGGCTTAAGCATGTTTCTGGCTTGTATATTGGCTGAGGTACCAAGGGAGGAAGTAGGATTATATCTATTGGAGTAATTTAAAGTGGTCTTTATGGCTGGAAAATATTTCTCTTCATAGAGTTTAGGTAAAGCCACAGCTCGGAACAGGTTTGGAGGAGAAAGTGCCATGACATCATGTTTGATATCACTATGTAAGCCACTAATAAAGCAGTTTAAAATAGCCTCCTCATTTAATCCCTCAGATCTGTTAGCGAGGGATACAAATTTCATATAATAATCTGAAATGGTACTTGATTGTTGCAGTTTAAAGAGCTCTGCCATTGGACAGTCAAACGGTGATGGTCCAAAATGAGATTCCAACATAGGTTAAGGCGGACCATGAGCTAACTACTTCCATCTTGTGTAACATTTGGAACCAAGCAACCACCTTGTGTAACATTTGGAACCAAGGAACCACGTCTTTTTCAAAATGCATCGATGCAATTTCAACTCGATCAGCATCTGGAGTGTGGTGATAAGCAAAAGATTTGTCTGTCTTGAAGATCCATTCTAGAACAAGGGTCGCTCCATCATAATGAGGAAAACCGAGGAAAATATCTTTTATTGGAGAATTTATCGAGATCGAAGATGCTCCTACACCGGAGTTTGCATGTGAGTTCGAAGCTTCCATGAGTCTGAGTGGAATTGATCAACAATTGTTGCACAGTGCATTTAATCTCATCCATCGTCGTTTCGTGAGCTTTGCTTTTGGTTTCCATGGTGGTTTGAAGTTTTTCTACCGTCGCAGCTAACCTGTTGAGATTGTCAACTGTTGTGCGTACTTCTGCTTGCAAATCCTTCAAACGCGTGTTCTCTGCCATGGAAGTCAATGAAAGTACCAATGTAACAAGGCAAATTTGACTATGGAGAAAAGAAGCCTTTCTAATTACGTAATTTTGCTTTCTGATTATCACAACGAGAATTATCGGAATAAACAAATTAAAATTGCTACCGCAGTAGCTACAGAAAATTTGAGAGATTTAACCAATCAAGTAGCGAGATCCATTCCTGAAATCAAAGAGGTTAGAATGAGAAAGAGATCCAGAGGAAAGGAAGAATTAAAATGTCAGAGAGAAAATATTCCATACTATCCATATCCCATCGTTGAATGAAGTCAAGCATAATAACGCTCTTCTTTTTCTCACGTTTTCCTCTGCGCACATCCATGCTCCTCTCCTTGCTTGTCATGTGGCCACCTTGCACAACAACCTTACCTGCCTTTTTTGAACTCTCATTCTCGCTTGTTCATTCTGATAGGAATTTTATCAGATCTTCATAATGTACCATTCACCGTAGATACCAATGTCAATGTGATCTCAATAGCTGTATGAGGGAGTTACAGTGGAAAAGATGAGATGAACGTGAGAATGAACCAAGCCAGGGCTCAGTCTCCCACCCTGCCACTCTTTTCTGCCCACTTTTCCTTACCTACACAGTACACTCCTCATTTCTTCTATATCTTGCGAGTCATGAGAATGTCCCTCTATTTCTCTGATTGCCTCGTTGGCAGTCTGTTATATATAACTATTAGTCATGGCCTCTACTTACTGCATTTGAGACTCTGATCCTCTACATCCTTTCCTGATGCACACCTTAAGGTGTCTTCCAATGTTACCACATTATTTCTCTAAAGAATTTGTCTTTAGTTTGTCAAATTAGTCCTTTCTTAGATCTAATGCTACCATATTCATTCTTATGGAAGACCAAAGTAGTGACACAAAAGGGCAAATTTTGTAGCTTGTGTGTGTTAAGGGACTAATTTGGTGAAAAACAATTCTTTGGAAGATAATGTGGTGACCTGTTAATCTTTGGAAGACCAAATTGATGCTTTACACTCAATATAATATGACATCTATACTACTATATGCAATCCTGAGCCTTTGCTTATGTGCTTTCAATGTCCTGTCATATTCCACAAATAATACATGCTAGGTTATTAAATCTGAGTCCTGGTATTTATCCTCTATTTTTTTTTTTTTATTGAAGAGTATTATGCTTAGATACGGTTTTTCTGCAGACAAAGCGATAGATTTCTATTTGAACCATTATACGGTTGTTGCTATGAAGACCTGGTTATAGAAACAGTCTAGACAAGGCAGTATTTACAAGAGTATATTTGTAGCACAAAACGTGCCACCATGTATACAAAAATTATTTGTGGTTTTGCTTAGGTGTCTCACAGTGGTATGTTACTTGGAGATCCTTTCTTCAGTAACTAGCTTTTGGGTTGGGCTCTGTCACGCTTATCTCCAAGGGGTAAAGCTTATAGCATCTCTCACAATTCTGCAGCTTTAGCAGTGATGTTGGGATTGTAGTATTCCCTTGGAACTAGAGTCACCAGACCCTGGCCTGAACAGCCAACCCACAAGGGGGTACCCATGATGTGGAGCTTTGTGGGATACTATGATCTGTCAGAGTCCCACATTGCTGTTATAGAGTGCTTCAACTTAGTATGTATGTGACCTTGGTGTTTGGCTTTGATGCTCTATCAATTCCCTTGGTCCTATGAAATGCCAATCAACATAAAATCATCAAATTAAGTTCAAACTCAGTTGTCAACCTAGGTGTGGTTGGATCTCACACTATCACAAGCACCGCCTATGCCTCTGGGTGTATGTGTTTGGCGGTAGTTTTTACTTTTCTATCCAACTCAAGCATTTTGTGACTTAATCTAAAGAATTAAGATAATGAGACTATCTATCTGGATATTATAAAGTGTGTTTGCACGATGTAGTCGTTGATTATCCTATGCTAACATGTTGGTTTCTATTTCAGGCTTTAATAGACGCTACATCCTCTGAAAGCAGCCTTGAGGAAGAGGCGGGAGTTAGAATGGTGGCTTTATTTGACCATGAGGAAGTTGGATCTGACTCCGCACAAGGAGCCGGCTCTCCTGTTATGCTAAATGCTGTGACTAGGGTTACCAATTCCTTTGGCTCAAAGCCCAATGTATGAAACGTTTATTCTATTACCTCTTTTTTATTCCTAAGAACTACATGGATGATCTTTCTACTTACAATGACTTAAATCTAGGCAGTGGCTATGTTATCCGAGCCCTCGTAAATTACAGCACCATTCAACACAATTTAGCATTTTACATATTTCAACAGTGAAAAGTGGAATAACCACACTCTAATTATGCTTTCGTATTTAATTAGTTTTCGTTATGGTGTTTTGTTTTAGCTTCTGGAGAAAGCAGTACAAAGAAGCTACCTTGTATCTGCTGATATGGCACATGCACTGCACCCAAATTACATGGTAAGTCTTCTGATGTGCCTTGATTGCCAATAATTCAAATTGTTGAACCTTATCATGATCAAATTTCTTGCAGGAGAAGCATGAAGCAAACCATCAGCCCAAACTACACGGAGGACTTGTCATTAAAAACAATGCAAACCAGCGGTATGCAACCAATGTTGTCACATCCTTCTTATTCAGGGAGATAGCATCAAAACATAACCTTCCCGTTCAGGTAGGTTTAATGAACAATTTTATCTGTCTCTTTTCTACGTCTCCTGTGATTGGAATTGGAATTGATCGCTTCTGTAAAGTCCTATAGCAATCATACACAAAAGCCTTTTCTACTATAATATTCCCAGTATTTCAAAGACTAAAATTATTACCTATTTTAAATATCAAAAAGAGAAAAATGTATTTTTAATCCATGAATCTTATGTCAAACTTGATCTCGGTTCATGTGTTTTCAAATTGATAAATTTAAATTTCTAACTTCTGAAAATGAAAATATTTGAATTTAGTCTCTCCTCATTAATAAATTTAATATTTAATGACTGTTTTTACTATCACAAAAGTTAGAATGACTACATGAACTTATTTTTAAAAGTTAAAACGACTATACATGAATTTAAAAGCTGAAGGATAAAAACCAAGTTTGTTGGGAAGTCCAGAGATGAAAAGTCACATTGTCAGGCTTAAAGTTGTGTAAGCATTGGTAAGAGATAATAGATTATAACAAGGTACATTTATGTATGTATATAGGACTTTGTGGTGCGCAATGACATGTCTTGTGGTTCAACCATTGGTCCTATTCTTGCTAGTGGCGTGGGTATCCGCACCGTCGATGTTGGGGCACCGCAGTTGTCAATGCATAGCATACGAGAAATTTGTGCTGTTGATGATGTGAAGTATTCATATGAGCACTTCAAGGCCTTTTACCAAGAATTCTCTCATCTCGACGGTAAGATGGTCGTGGACATATAGGATATATCTCCACTCACGAATTCCTCCTTCATCATGTTTTAAGGGAAATGTTTTGTAATTTATTAACATTCAATAAAATAAGACTTCAAGTATGTTTACTTGATGAATCAATCCACATTTTTGCCTCTAATGGGACTGTATTTGGGTGAGTAACGTCTCTTCTAGAGTAAAATAATTATAATGAATTTTCGAGTAATCTTCAAGTTAGGAAATGTGGGGTGGTACTGTTCTTTGGTATATTATTCTGAATGAAGAAGCTCAAGTACGAATGTATTGATGATAACAAAAAATTAATCATACTATTTGCATTGAATGTGAGTTGAATAAGTGAAAAATAACTATTTTATCTTATTTCATGTCATAATTTCCTTTAAGAATAAGAAATACAGTATAATAATAAATAGGACAAGAAATTTAATAAAAAAAATCATATATTATTAATACATACAATTTTGATTAGAACATAATAAATTAATTATATATTATAACTGATTATCAAAGTAATCTATAATTTTTATAAAGATTGAACAAATCGTATGAATAATATATTCAAAAAAATATTTAAATATAATCTCAATCAATTTATTTTATTTAAGGATATTAGTTTTTTATATATATAATTTTTTTTCTTTTTTCTCATTTTTTTTCTCTTTCCTCATTCACTTCTTGTTTTTTCTCTTTTCTATGTTAAGTTTCTTGTTTTTTTCTTTTTCTCTCACTTATTCTCCTGATTAAACTACTATATTAAAATTTAATAAAAATATATTAAAATAAATATTTCTAAATCAACATTTAAATTAAAAAATATTAACTAATTATTTAAAATTATGATAATAATAAATAATTTATTTAATTTAACAGAAAATAATTTTATTTACAATGACGTAAATAATTACCATAATAAATAATTATTCATCTAATTAAAAAAATATCAAATATTTATAAGTTAAATGTATTTTTATTCAATAATTTAATCTAGTTATAAATTGAATTATCATAATTAGTTAGATTAGGTAATTTTAAAAAATATTATTAAAAAAATACTTTAAAATAGATATTTAATTTTTTTCATAATAATTATAACATAATATAATAATAATAATAATAATATATATTATTATTATTATTATTATTATTATTATTGTTACATATCAAATTTATTATATATATATATATATATTTTAAATATAATATATTAAATTATAATATTTTTGGATCATTTAAATATTTTTATTTTTCAATAATAATAAAAGACTTATATTTAAGAGAGAAAATTAGTTATATTATATCAATAATTTTATTTTTATTATTAAAATATGTGTATGAATAATAACTAAATCTATTCGGATAAATAAATTTAAAAAGATTCTATTTAAATAATTTTTTTAATTATATTATTTATAGGATTGATTCAACAAATATATAATTTATTAAAGTTAAATTATTTATTATAAAGGGTTAAATAATTTTTTAATGAACAAATAATATAATTTATCAAATTTATATTTTGAGACTTTCTTGTTATCTTTACCCATTACCTAAATTTGTGTTTTTTTTTCTTCTCATTTATTATTTCATTGAAAAACTCTTATGTTAGTTTAATCCCAAAATCAAAACTGAGACAATGCAATTTTAAGATTGTAGTTAGGTGATTGAGTAAATTTTTGGATAAAAAGTTATTTATGTCAACACATAAAAGTAATATATAGAAAATAGTTTAATTTGAAGGAGATATTACATTTTAAACAAATCAATCTGTTTTCTAAGGTTCAATTTGAATCAATTTAATAACTTTTACTCATTCAGTTTAATATGACTTAAAACTAATTTGATTAATATGTTTTGTTAACCTAATGGTTAGGGATAATATGCTTACAAGAAGCATGATTAGTCACGGGTTTAGTGAACTTGAAAAACAAAATTAAGGTAAAATAATTTTTTTTAAAAGTTTAAATTATTAAAAAGGAAAGAAAAAGCAAAAAATAATTTTAATTTGACACACGTTAAAATAAATAAATGTGACGTAGAATTTACTAACTAATTAAGTGATTATTGATACTTATAAACAATATTTTCATACAAAATAATTAAATTACAATTATATTAGTAAAAATTATATTATAAATTATCTATGATTAATTAATTAGTTATTTATAGTTAATTAGTCGCACAATATCAATGTAAAAAAATCATAATTTACTAAAATAATACAAAAAAAAATCCCGAAACGTCTGAAATTGCACCGTTTTATAAAAAGTGAGTCAAACTAATAATGACAATTTATTAAAAAAAATACAGAAGAAAATTTAATATAAGTTAAAAAAATCAAATCAAAATGTAAATAAAAATTTGACTATTTTTTATTTTTGAATTTTACAAGAGTTTGATTTTTTGTTTGATTTCATTATTTGAAATCGTTTGAATAAATTTTATAGTCCCTACTTTCATATTGTATTTTGATTTTTTTATGCTTTTTATATTTAATATTGTCCTATCCGTTTTTTTAATATATAGAACTAACGATATATTTTAAGATTTTTATTTCCACCATCAAATAATCGATTATGTATTTATTAATAATAATGTGAAATTTTACTATTATTTTTTAAATTTGGATATAATTTTTATAAATTGTTATTTGTGATAACCTATATTTGGAAGAAAATACTTCACTCAAAAATTGACTTAAACATTGATGTGTATTTTCAAGATCCCACGCCTCTTCGTCCAAGATCCAACAAGCTGGGTCACGTTGACTTCAAGATCCAATAGTTTGGTCACGTTAACTCTAAGATCCAATAGCTTGGTCACGTTGATTCCAAGATTCAATAGTTCGATTATGTTATTCTTAAGCTCAACAATCCAACCATATAAGTCTTAGATTTTAGCACTAGAACACAATAACCATTGTTTATATCTTTACGTCTTATTTTCTTTTATTATAATAATTACATTCTCTTTTCTGCAAGAATCATTGTTTATATCCTTACATCTTTTTTTTATTATAATAATTGCATTTTCTTTTTGGCAAGAATATTTTATGTTTACTATGGGGTCGAGAACATAGTCTCACCTTCACCATGAATCATGAAGAAATTATCAATAGTTCGAAGTTGGACATTGAAGAAATGCAACGGAGAAACTTGTTATGTACAAATTAAAATACATGTCAAATTAAATATTTATTTGTGAGTCAATAATTTGTTTGAACACAGATAAAGCAGAAGCGATAATATAATCAGGAAAAGAGAAAGAGATAAGGGAAAGAGAAAAACATACAGTGATTTATACTGGTTCGACTATAGTCAACCTTACATCCAATTCTCAGTCAACTCTTAACACAAGAGTGACTCCCAATTCACTATCTTTCAAATTCAGTTTACAAATTACGATCAACTAAGCAGAATAACCAACAAAAAGTAAACTAATTAAAAAGACAATCACCTCCTTAGAAACTCACTAAGGATGGACACCTTCCTAGAATCCTACTAGGGATGAACACCTCCTCTGAACAAATCAAAGGATGAATACACCTCCTTAGAATCCCACTAAGGATGAACACCTCCCTAGAATCCCACTAGGGATGAACACCCCTTTTGAACAAATCAAAGGATGAAACAACCTCCTAAACCCACAAAGGATGAAGGAGTAAGATAAGAACAATCACACTTGTGTAATGGAGACAACAAATTGTAGAAGCTTGTAGAATGTCAATCTCCAATAACAAGTGTGATTAACAATGAAAGCACAAAAGATAGTAGAGAAGAGAGTTTTCTTAGAAGGTGTAAAATATCTCTGTTGTCTTGCTCAGAATTATTTTCTCAAAACTGATTGAATGTAAATTATATTTTCGAATTTTGTAATTGTGTGTTTTTTATTTTTCATCAAAACTTAATTAAATAGAAAAATAGCATCAGAAAATGGTCGTTGGATATTAATATTTTCGTGAATAAAAATCAGAATATATTCAAAAACATTTATTCTTCAAAACAGATATATTTTTCAAATTTGAATTGTCATAATTGATTATGTTACTAGTATAATCAATTATGACAAAGAAAATCATTTTTCCATTTCTGATGCATCATAATTGATTATGACAGTGAAAAATATCATGTTATGAATTTTATCACATTTGTGCTTTGGAGGCTTATGCATAATATTGCTTCATCAACTTGTACATCCATATCCAGTATTCTAAGACTCTATCTAGTCTTCAGGAATCATCTTGGGCTTGCTTGAATCATCATCTTTATCAAAAACATATCTTGGGCATGTAGGGAAATGTTTCACATTGTCACCAACGTCTTAAATTCAGTTTGTCCTTAATTCATCTTGAATGGTGTTGACTTGAATGTAGTTGACTTGAATCATCATCAAAATCATCTCTTGGGAATGTAAGGACATTTTCATCAATCTCTCCCTCATTGCTTTCAATCTCCCCCTTTTTTATGATGATCAAGGAAACACCTAAAATGAATTAAAATGTTTGACTCTATATAACCAGCTCAAGATTAGCACTGTATAGTATCTAGTCTCAGAGTCGCTTAATCTCCCCCTGGATATATTAATAACAAGACTCTCCCTAACTCATATGAGCAAAGACTTCTCTTAACTCTTCCTATTTAATTCAAATATAGGAATGAATTTCACAAAGATTTTAATTCATAAAAAAATCTCCCCCTATTTCATTGATAATCATAAAAAATAGTATAAGAGAAAAAAAATCTCCCCCTGTTTCACACAGATTAATATCATCAAAATATCTCTCTGTTTCATTGATAATTATGAAAAATATTGCAATAGAAATTGAGAATAAATTTTCACATATTAGTACATAAATCAAGGCAAAGAAGATAATGCATTACAAAATGTTCATAGAGAAGAACATCATATTAAGGAGACAATATCTAGGATACCCAAGACAAATGAAGAGAGAGAAAGATAGAGGAATAGAATGATTGTAGAGATAATGAAATGAAGTGCAGTAGTTTCCCCCAATTGCAATCTTCTTATTTAGGCAGCTTTCAAATTCAAATTCACTCATATTCCAGATTTCAAATTTCAAATTCAAATTTCTAATCCCAAATTTCAAATTCAAATTTCAAAAATTTCAAACTGCAAAAGTTTCAAATTTCAAAATCTCAAAACTACAAAATTTCAAATTTCAAAAATTTCATGCTGCAAATTTAAAAAAAAAATCCCAAACTGCAAAATTTCAAATTTCAGAAATCTCAAACTACAAAATTTCAAATTTCAAAAATCTCATCGCAATTTTTTTAATCTAATGCAAAATTTCAAATTTCGAAATCTCAAACTGCAAAATTTCAAATTTCAAGAATCTCAAACTACAAAATTTCAAACTTTAATAATTTCAAATTTTCATAAATTCAAATTTTCAAAATTCAAATTTTCAACATAATTGATTATGACAACAAGAAAAAAAATTTCGATTATGATAATCAATTAGATGCTCAAACTATCAACTAGACATGTATAAATGTTTTGTTCCTTTAGGCACCCGTTCATTTGTCATTAGATATGCCAAAATGTTTTATGTAACATCTATTTGATGTATGACCTAATTTCATGCAATAAAAACATGTTGGTTTACTTTGAAAATGTCTAAATGAGTTTCTTAAAGTTTTTGAAACTGGTTTCACATCTATTTTTCTTGACTCTTTCACAAAAATAGCTTTATGAGGTTCTAGACTTTCTTTGGGTTTGTAACCAAGTCCATCTTTGCTAGAATTCCCTCTTTGATAACCTAATATAGAATCAAGATTTTCAAAAGATTTTGAAAACTTGCTTATTATTTTCTCTAAATTGAAAATCGCATTTTCCAAATGATTACAATTTTCACAAGGTTTAGCAACTTCTTTATTTTTAGACAAAGTTTTAAATTTCTCAATATCTTTCTTTAAACACTCATTTTCTTTTTCAAGAATACCAACAATATTTTCTAATGCATTAAACTTTTGTCTAAGTACATTGTATTTCTTAGATAACTTGGTAAAACCTTCATACACATCTTGATTTTCTTTAAACAACTCATCATATTCATTTAAAGATTTTGTACTGCTTACCTGTGATGAGGCTTCATCATCACTTTTTGTCATCAAGCAAATATTTGCTTCTTCTTTTCCATCACTGATTTCGGAAGAACTCTCTTGTGTTGTGGAAGAATCATTATCCTCCCAAATAATATAAGCTTTGCATTTGTTCTTATAGATACCATTCTTCCCTTTCTTCACATCTTTCTTAAGTTCCGGACAGTCTGGTTTGATATGGTCAGATTTTCCACATTCATAGCAATGATATTTATTTGTTTTCTCCTTTCTTTGTTGTCTCTTTTTCTTGTTCTTCATAAAGCGAGAAAATTGTTTAAAAAAAAGAGACATATCGAAATCCGAAAACTTACCTTCATTTTCGCTTTCGTCTTGTGAAGATATTTCTACTTTTAGAACTATCTTATTGGCTTGATTCTGTTCACCATTCTTTAACCTTTGTAGCTCCATCTCATGTTCTCGCAGCTTTCCAAATAGAGTAGGAATATTCATTGCTGTGAGATCATTTGATTCTATAATAGCAGTGACCTTTGGTTGTCAATTCTTGTCTAAGGATTTCAAGATTTTTGTGTTCAACTCCTCATTGTCAAAACTCTTTCCTAATGCTTTCAAGTGATTTACTATATGTGTGAAGCGTGTCTGTAAATCCATGATGCTTTCATTTTGCTGCATTTGAAATAATTCATACTCCTGGATGAGTATGTTCTTACGTGCTCACTTTACTTCATTTTTTTGTTCATGTGTTACTTCAAGAGTGTCTCATATTTCTTTTGTCGTCTTACATTGTGAGACCCTGAAAAATTCATTACGAGTTAAGGCAGAAACTATAGCGTTTCGGGCTCTTACATCATAATGGGCACGCTTGTTTTCATCTGGCGTCCATTGATCAAAAGTATTTGGAACAACTCCAAACTCTGTTATTCTCATCGGGATGTAGGGACCGTTGAGTACAGCATCCCAAACACCGTAATCTAGTGTTTATAAAAATATTTTCATTCTTGTCTTCCAAAACTGATAGTCTTCTCCTTCAAATAATGGAGGTCTGTTTATTGTGGCTCATTCCCTGTAAACCTGATTCTGCATAGACATCTTGACAGATCGTTTAGAAATATCTTATCTAACCAAGCTCTGATACCACTTGTTAGACAAATGACATCTAAAAGGGGGTGAATAGATGCACAAATTAAAATAGATGTCAAATTAAAAATTTATTTGTGGGTCAATAATTTGTTTGAACACAAAACTAAGAAGACATAGCCAACATTGAAAGAAATCATGAAGATGAAATACAAATATTCATGAAAAAAGTGAAGAAATGGACAAAACAATTGCGATTATTGGGAAAATCTCCTCTGAGGTACTATGCCTCTTCCAAAAATCAATCACCATCATGGTACCAGTCCACACCCCTTCGAACGAACACTCATTATGAAGGGGAGTTCGGTCAAAGGGTTGTTCACGGGGACCAGGAGGAGAGGATAAACCTGGCACTTCAGTATGGAAGGCACCTTCAATCAAAAGTTTTGGTGGGGGTGCGGATCCGACGAACATGCCCGATCTTACATTACTTAAGTTAGTGTATTTGGGGAGAGTGATGCTTTCATTTGAAGAATTTACCTAATTACTCTGGAGGGGGAAACACTTAAATGGTTTTATGATTTACCTCCTAGATTTATAAAATATTTTGAAACATTCATACAAAAG